ATTTTGTTGTGTTTGAAGCTCCATTAGAGTCGGTGACGAGGGTGTCCAACCGCACTTTTTGGACTTTCCAGTCCTAATGGTAGCTTGGTTTAGGGATTTGTTTTTGGGTTTGTGTGATTCTGTTGTAGAGTATATTTTGATCTTATATTTAGTTTTCCTAGTCCTTTTTGGCGTATGGATTTTTGTATTCCTGGAGTTTGTAGAGTTTTAGTAGAGTTTTTGGTAGAGTCAGTTTTGGAGTTTAGATATTTTGCAATCTTTTGTTTGACATGTTTGTTGAGTGGTGACTTTTCAGCATAAAAGAAAGAGTCCTTTCTTTTATTTTTTTTTCGGGAAGGTATGTAATGTAACGGTGCATTTCGCACCATTACAGTAATTTGAACCTTAGTCTCGTTTTTGTTTTGTTAGGTTGAATTTTTTGTCGTTTCTGCGTGTGCCGATGGTCGAGGGACGGACGAGAGTAATAATCGATGTTGTTCCCCCGCGATTAGTTAGTCGATTTAGTTTTTCTTGTCCTGGCAACATTTTTGTTTCCCCGCTCTATGGAGCGGCAGGCTTTTGGACTGGTATCACATTGGCTTCACTTTTGGACCGGCCGCCGAGTGAAATGAAGCAAGCAAGTTTTGTCATTTAATTTTTTAGTAATCCGTATTTAATTGTTATGGACGAGGGCCTATTTCCTCTTTAAATGTTTGGCCAACCTAGTTAGGACTCGAGCTATTGGTTCGAGTGATTATTTTTGTTGAAAAGGCAATGCTTATAATGCTTATAATGCCGCTGCTTGATTTGTGAAACATTTTGGGACCCTGATGAATCAGGGTTTTTAGTTTATATCTAAATTACTTTACTTTCTTATTGGAATGTCCTTGCGTGGCATTCGATTTTTGTCTCTCGCCGGAGTTTGACCCCAAGAAATTAGATTGCTGTGGAGCACCGGATTGGTAGAAAAAGCTGCTTAGCTGCACGCCATTGTCTGGAGCCGGGGAGTGCTAACCCGCCTCTTACACCACGTGGGAACCGGAGTGAGAAGTTTCGGAGTTGGTTTGATTTCATTTCGTTCGGACTGATCCAAGGTCATCGGTATGTAGTTTTGTTATATTTTTCTTGGCGACGTGGCATTGAACACTGCAGGTCCCCAAGGGGTGTTATTTTTTTCATTAGAGAGTAGGTCAATGCTATGTCTACCCTTAGAGTTTACTGTTTTGTCTATTTAGTCTTTTTGTGACTCTTTAAAAGTTATTTAACCTTATATTTTTCTTATTGGAAAGGATTGCATTAATGACAGTACTAATTTGTGAATAAGAGTTACCTATTGTAATTAGAGACATAAGACACATTGTACTCTACAGACACTACGGGATAATAAACAGCCATTAGAACTTAACATCTTGTATTCATTAGCTGCCTCCCGCCTTGTTTTAAAAAGGTTCAATGCTGGCTGAGATGTCCGAGGTATTTGTTGTGTTTGTGGTGGGTTCTGTGTTCTTTTAAGGTGGTGTCTGGCGCCCGAGACTTTTATTTTTGTTATTTTGTTTCTATTTGATGCCACCAATTTAGCTTTATTTTTTTTAAAACAGACCCAACACTTTAATTTAAAAAAAATTATTTTTTATTATTACACTATAGATGGACTATACCGTTTAGTAATACGTAGTCTGTTCCTGTGCACATTAGCAATACACAAATATTAATGACTAGCACATTACATAAATACACATAAAATTATTCATACGCTTACATACATATATAGGTAGCTATAGATACATATAAGTAGCCAAGAAAACCTATCTCCTTTTTATCTCGTAAAATATAGTATAAATATGTATTTTATTCCCGTGTACCAGTCTGTGTAATCACAATTTACTGGCGCCCATGGGAAATGTTGAATCTATCTCCACCTTAACGCTCATTTTAGGGAAACTAATAATAACGAAAGCTTGTTTACGTTTTGCTACCGCTCTTCTATTATTAAACACCCTCTACATAGCAATGGTTCTTAAAAGCCTGTCAATGTATAAAAGTAATAAGAACTTTTTTATTTTATTTCAAAAAGCATCAGCCTACCACCGTTTACTGGAAGATCAGCTGCTAGCCACTTTCTATAAGTCGTCGGTCAATCGTGGCGCAAGGCACTCCAGCCACCACTTCCGTCTACTGATTCTGATGATTGGTTACTCTAGTTATTTGTTTTAAATTTATCAAAAATTTCATTGATCTGTAATACAGTAAACATAAAATCCACAAATTTTACGATTTCTATTTAATACTAGATGACCCGCGCAACTCCATCTGCAATAAATTTTCTCCGTCTTTGCAATATTTTTCATTGATGCTCGGTCGGCTCGGATGCCGATTGGTCGTATCGTAAAGTATATAGCCTCTAACCTTCCTCGACAAATAGGCAATCCAACGCTAAACGCACTTTTCATTTCGAACCAGTAGCTGCTAAGTTTAGCGCGTTCAATCGCACAAACTAACAAAATCTTCAAATTTGTTTTATAATACCCACTCATAAGTCATAAGTATGGATTTTGCTTAGGTTTCAATAAATAACTCTCATTTTTTGGTAAATATTTTCATTGAATTACGAAGACCTACTAATTTACGTACTTACCTACTAATCATTTTAAATATGAAGACCAAATAACAATAAAGCTATAAAATACTTAACTAGGTAGGCACCATCATATAATCATCAATGTTAGTACCTGCCTATATAACTTAAACTTAGAGGGGTCGGACTTCCCGCCAATAGCCAACTCAAATTACAGATATGCGACCATGACCTCACGAAGGTATTGCGTACACTCCCTTATGTATCCGTTAAACCTTGTACCCTTATTATTTTATATTACCTTTCATTATGTTACTACTATAACGCCATTTTCCCATCCTTAACTTTCAAAGTACTCTGTTGACGGCAATAGGGATACCCGTGAGACTAAGCAATGGAACAATGGTTGGTTTGAGGAAACAGGTGGCAATACCTATATAATGCTTTTTTACCTTACACCAGTTTCCCTTTTCGGCTAGGAAACTTCAAAGTAACGTCGTAAGCTTTACAAACACTTTTTTTTATTAAAACAAATTATTAGAGCCTATAATGCTAGTTCTGCGTCAACAGTAATGTAAATAGGTATAAAAATATTTGTCCAAAACACAGCTGCATTGCTTCTATTAAATTATTTATACCCGTCCTCACTGCCTGAAATATACCGAAATAGATAAGTTCTACTTGCAAGTGATAGTCACTTGCAAGTAGAACTCAATCAAATCAATCAAATTTAAATTTTCAAATTCAAAATATCTTTATTTCATAAAAATTTTAAAATTGTTTTAAAATCGTCTTTTATGTAGATTCCAAAATCGTAGAAGAACACACACACACAATAGAAACAATCTCTGTTTTGTCCAATAGTTAACAAAATAAATTGAATAAAATATAATTATTTAAATATTAATTATTAATAAATGAATTCTATAAATATATAAATCAAAACATCCTGTTCAGAAAGCAAGCCTTGAATTCTATAAATATATAAATCAAAACATCCTGTTCAGAAAGCAAGCCTCAAACTGTTCAAATTCCCCTGATTTAATATTGGCAACATACTTGTCACATTTTGAATTGCCATGCCATGCAATAGGCACACCATGCATCCAGGGGAGGCGGTAGCCACTTACCATCAGATTATCCATCTGCTCGTTTGTCCTCCTATAACATAAAAGAAACAATTCTAATCATAGGTATTTTTCTAGAAAAATTATAAATATTGTGGATCAAATAATTCTTACTTAACATTATTAAATTGGCCATTATTGGTCAATTTGTACTCTACTTGATTTGTCACTTGAACTTCAGAAGTGTAGCTTTGTATTGATGATGATGATGTTATTAATTTACCGTCCATCACTAAGTAAATGTGTTAGCTAAATGAAATTAACATTTAAATATTACCAGTGACACATACCCAAAAAAAATGGTGTGAAGCCATATTCATTAATGGTTCAAAATTTTAAAATAACCATAAATTCATCATCTTTAGTTTATTTACATGATCAAATTGAAAACCACCCTTACTCTTACCCTTAGTTTTAAAGGATTCTTTGTCGGCACTGACTAGTTGCCGACTATATGAGTAACTTTAAGTCTTTTTATGTCACATACAGGTGTTACACCATATTATTCATTTGTGATGAAATTTGATTAGTTAGCATTTCCTGAGACTTGCAACTTCCGGAACATGATCCTTTGTTCTTTACAAAGTTATTTCTACCACTGCCTTTCATTTGAAAATGAAAAACTATCATTGGCAATGTTTTATGCACTCTATCCCTCTAAATAACACAGAGATTCTGTTAACACCAAATTAACCTAAAGTGTAAATTTTATACATAATCTGTTCATACAAGACGCCATGCCATGCGGCACAAAATGTTTTTACTTTATAGTTAAGTATTCAAAAAGTAATTTTGTGAAAAGATACTTCTTTGTATAGCAATGGTTTTAAATATTTTTTAGGACTAATCATTTGATAACTTGCAATATATCATAGAATAATACAATGACATAGGTTAAATAAAACAATAAAATCAAGAATAATGACATTTATCTTTATTTTAAATAATAGCGAACAACAGTTCACTTAAATATTATTTACTTATCTCTTTGGACTCAGTGTTTAAATCATTCTAGTTGAAACTTTACCATTATTAAATAGTCAGCATCTACTCTTGTTACATTGTTAGATATTACAGTGCACAAAAAAACTATTTATATTCAGATAGAAATACTTTCACAGAGGTAATATTATTCGTGTTGTTAGAATTGATTAGAATCACACCTATCAAGAATAGATTTCTACACAAATCCACGTATGCTTAAATTCCATATACATAGTAGAACACAGTATTAACAGTGAGCACTTTTACTTACTAAGTATATTTACAAGGCACGAACAAAAACGTAGTAGAATTACGAAAAGTTCTATAAAAGAAAATTATTTAGCGGGAGCTGGTGCAGTTGGTGCTACCGCCACTCTCTGCTGCGCTGCCGACAACTGTGGTGTATTCGATGCCAGTGCTCTGATTTGCTGTTCTGCTGCAGCGTTTACCATTTTTGTCACATTCATTTTCATCTTATTACGTTCAGCCGCCGTCTTACTTTTAACAGGTGCATTAGGGCGTTTTGCAACCGCTTTACCTTTGTTTTTTTGCTGTTTTTTCTTTGTTTTAGCACCAGCTGGCAGTTTGCTTTTCACCTTAAATTTGCCCTGAGCCATTGTTGTTTTTTCAAGTACCAGATACTATTTATACAATACATATGAACATTCACAATTTTGAACACGTGCCCTTGACGTTTCAACATTTGACATATGTCATTGTGTGTGTGTGTGTGTGTGACAACTGACGTTTATATGATTTCATTTACAGAAAAGTTTCCTTTTATGTTTGTGTTCTTATTTATTGGGTTAATACTGTACTTTTGAGGTTTTCATATGTGGATTCAGTTCTTAAAAGATAGAGTTAAATTTACTGAAAATCCTACAGGAATCTGATTTCAGTTGTGAAAATTTGAAGATAAGGTACATGAGCGTTTATGGAACGTGTTTTAACTATTTGATTAGAATTATATCGCTAGGTAAGGTATTTTGGAATAAACATACAAATAAAGAGACAAAATTAGTATTTATTTATACGGACTTTTTTTATTATTCATAAATCGACTGTTGCAGTATATGAATTCGAGTTTCAAGTTAAGAAATTTACATAATATATAATATCTAAATATATTTTATGTACAGACAAATAGAAAAGTAGTCGAGTATAATAATCGGCTATCGATAGAATCGAGCGGCGAGAGTGCAGGCGACCGGCAGAAAGCGGTGCGGACGAGGGCGCACCTCGCCATAAAACGTCTAGAAAAATAGATAAATCGCTCAAAAACGTCAGAATCAGTCGAAAAGATAGAAGAGTGGAGAACGGGCAACGTCAAAGATGACGACGGTAGGTCCTTTACGGCCCGTCTCACGCATACTCTGTATCGGTTGAGAGTGAGCGCTCAGCGGGTGAGCGACGCCCACCGCCTTCTGCTGCCGCCGGCTCACCCGCTTGCGCCTGAGCAAATGCTAGGCTTTTCTGGTAGCTGAACAGTTGTCTTTCCAGCGAGTAGTTCTCCGCTTGAAGTACAGTAATTTCGCGCCTGAAAAATTAAAAGAAAGTTCTTATGTATATCTAGAATTTGTAAGCCAATATCATATCTTCAATTATATTACCTCATTTGATGCGCGTGTAGTCGACAGAGATCATCATAGACATGATAAGTAGCTTGAAATAGGAGATAAGTATCACCCCACTCGAGGCGTACTCGCAACTCGCCGCCCGGGTGCATGAACGTGCAGCCAGGTCGAGATACGTCCTCAACGCGTAGAGCCGTTTCCATCATAAGTCCCTCGTCAGCACTATCCTGAGCGTAATAGTGCTCAAATGGCGATCCAGGTAGTTCTTCAGCATCAGACTCCCCAGTAGCAGTCCCCACTCGCACAAGCCATGCAGACCAGCTTACGTAACGTAGATGATTACGCGGTACATGAGTTACATCTCGGTACAACATATGCATTCGCACCATCTCCGAGTGCATGTCGCAGCGCACCGCCCATGCATGTTTGTCGCGGTCATAACAGGTCACTGCCCGTCCTGCAGCTGGTATTGCCAGTTCTACAAGTGCACGAGCCCATACCAGCTCTACGGTCAAGCGAACGCCTTTCGTCAACAGTCGGGATGCTGGTCGTGGATTCCAAGGTGGCGTCCGACCCTCTGCGTCACAAACACATTCTAAGGGTCCCGAATGCAGCCTTCTATCACCTTCGCCGAGTGCCAGGGCATATCGAACTCGACACTTCTGTCCCTCTCCTGACAATCTAATGAGACGTAGAGTTAAAGGTTCCTTACCCCCACCGCCACTAGCTGTCACCTGCCAGTCGAAACCAGCAAATGCTATGGGTGGAGTGTCAAGACGTGGTGCTCGAAGTTCACAAGAGTATAGAGTGCGTACGCGGGACATGCTCAACTCCAGTTGAAACTCGCCACGCGCGTCTGCAAATTTAGCATTGAGTTCTGCCATGGAGACGCACCGACCACGCCCCTGAGCAGCACACCCAGCGCTAAAGCGTACTTGTTTGCCGGAAAATCCTTCATTCGCTGTAAAGTGATCACGACTGAGAAGCGTGAAAGTAAAGTCGACATAGACCCGCATGCCTTCGCACGCGCCTCGCCAAACCAAGTATACACCTGTAACAAGATAAGAAAGTTTCTATGACTTCGGTTTGAAACTTTGCAGTTATAAATTTGTCAGGGCAATAGCAGTACATTAAATAAGTTGTTTTTTAGGACGTCCGCACACTTAACTTATCTGTGAAATAAACGTGTATGTAAGTACTAACCGAGTGATGCATCTGTGCGGCTGAAGGCGACAGCCCAGCGCTGGTGCGCGCAACAGAAATCCTTTGAGGTGACATCGCGGTCCGGCTCGCGTGTGGCAGAGCGCGTGACCACGAAGGTGAAGACATGGGTGTCGGCGCGGTCCTTCAGCCGCGTCGCGCGGTACAGCAGAGCCATGCGCCCGCTGGCCGCACGCCGGCCCCGCCGGCCCCGCCTGCGCGCGTGCCTGTCAACAAGCACTGTTACAACTTATAACCAGCACTACTATAAATAAGAATAAATCGTTATTTTATCGGTAAAAGTTACTTAAAAAAAGAGATGGATTTATCAGGCATAATTAAGAATCAGTTTCTTTACTTAACTTCAAAACCATTTCTGAGTAACATTAAATAGGTGTGATACTTAGATGTTTTCTTACAGAACGTAAATATCATGAAAGTAGACTTGTGGTTATGTGGCCTTAGGTTTCAGGAGTTAGATACTACGTATATGAATACTACTACGTCATCATGTTTTACTCGTACTACTACTACACTTTACACCAGAGGGGTAATCCGTAAACAAAAGGGGCAGTGTACAAAGTACATGTTATTAAATTTATGTATATTTTAGCCTCATAGCGTGTGTAAACACGTTGTTATGCCTTTACCGAATCAGGAAAATTATTTAAGGTAGTCTTGTAATACCTACCCTATTGGTACGACAACATTCGAACTTGGAACAAACAAAAAAATATTAAAAGTTCATTCATCAAGTTTATCATTCTGTGTGGTGACGGATTAAGAATACTGAGTGTCACCACCGCTATTTATCGCGTGGGTGTCATAAGAGCCGACTTAGGAAGCAAACTATGCAGGACAACAACATTGTAAAGAGAAGGAAAACTTTACACAAACCCTATACCAACCCGTCTGGCCAGCGGAGTATAGTAGGCCAAAACCTTCTAACTAAGGAGAGGCCTATGTCCAGCAGTGGACTATTAAAGGCTGTTGATGATGATGATGATGACATTAAATTTTTATTTAATACTTATTTCCTTCTTTCCTTTATATGAAAAATAAACTAAGTATTTTGATAACTAATGTTTGTGTAGTATTTTATAAATGCATTTATTAAAAAGTAATGTGAATGTCTTTTATTCTACATAACTTTTTACCAAAAAGGTTTAAATTCAACGCTCTATTATTAGATCACCCGGAATAGTAGGTATGTGCCCGTAATTTCCTGCTAACTTAGTCTCTGTCGGCCTAATTAAAGTTATATAGGTACTTATCTATGTAATTGAAGGTACGCGATATTACATGAATGTTGTAAAATACGAATACGTAAACCAGAAACGTGTAAACATTTATGAAGTAACGTACTGAAGTTGAGAAAGTTCTTAAGCCGAGGCCAAGATTCCTTCGTGCATTGGAGTGGACATAAATCTGCCAATTCCATTTCTTAATATCTTTTGTGACTTTCGACTTTTTTCTTTTATTTCAAAATCGTTTCCGTAATTTCCAAATTGGTATTTTTTTATTTATTATTTTCCAGAAATATTTCGAAGCTTACGTTTGATTCCGATGTCTCTGTGGATTTATTTCAGTAGGTCCTATTAAGTTTGATTGAGTTTCTTTGCTTTAAGAAAATCAGCAGGAGAAAAGCTCTTTGTTGAGATGGTAAGCTGTTATTGTCCGTATAAATTCATTCTTGAACTGTTACGCTTTGTGGGTTATAAATCATAGACTAAATTTTATTTGAATAAATAAATGTAAGAAAAATGAAATACATTTATTATCTATACTTACAAATAGGTACAAATAGGCATAACACACTAGGAGTACTTGATATTTATATCTAAAAGTATTGTTTATAAAAGCGCAGAAACCTAAAATTGTTAAAATAAATGTACTATTAAGTTAAAAAATTAAATTAAAACAGCTACATGATGCTAAAAGAGTCCAGTATATATTTTGATCTATCACGACTATGCAAGATTAGCTTAAATTATACTGGTCTATAAAATAAAACAGCCAGCCTTGTTTTGTATTTCTATTTACTGGAAATAAAGAGAGCCTTTAATAAAACAACAGGCAACTTAACTCTCACTGTCATTCTATTTAAGTTAGACAGATCTCGTAAGTCTAACTGTCAGGCGTATGTCAGCTGCGAACGATATGCCAATTGATTACTTCACCGCTGTCTAGCCTTAAAATATATACATATTACATTATTCCATTAAACTTAATTATAACGCCTCATTTAGAATTTAACATGTACTACATATAGGTACTATACTCTCGCTTTAGTATGTGAAGTGATAGATACAGGATTGAACTTGAATTTGGAATTTTCAATGTTCACATTTCATAAACGTAAGAATAACCTTAGTTTGGGATGTTAATAATAATATTTAATAATAACCTCAGATATCTCACACACGGTCGTCTGATCCCAAACAAGGCAGAGCCTGTACTGCGGTAACCAAACTGCTCATAAACATACTTACATAGTTCTAAATACATAGACATTGTTTATAAAAAAATTGCTCTAAGACACAGAAGAATCATCGGCTCATCACACAATTATTTGTCCCTTTTTCTTGTTAACGGGGTGGAAGATCCTCATGGATGTCCTCCGCCCAGTGGGGGATGGTGTAGGGGTCTGTCGGACTCTTACCAACTAAAAACCACCTCGTTTTTTCTCTCCTCGCCAATAGCCGGGAGAGCGAGAATCACAATTGCATTCTTCCGCCACCCCGGACAGGCATTGACCCATTTCACCCAAGACCGGTCTCGTCCCCCGTTGCGACCGTCACCCTTCGGTCGAAGTCCTCTAGAAGCGCACACGGAACACTATGCGCTGCCTCTCGGGCCTGTATCTGTTCGGACGACGAATATCCCAAAATCGTCAGGCCACTTCCTACAGCAGTGCTGCGTTTTCTCTCCATTCCTACCGCTTCCTGTGTGGACATCATATGTTCGCAGAAGGAAGCGACGGCGCTCCATGCACTCCCGATGCGGACCATGGACAAAATCAAGGTCGGAAGCGAGACGCTACTAAGCTGAGCATTCCGCCAGCGTGTGAAGCGACGTGTCATCAGGGCAGCCATCACAATGATGGCACCGTGACGTCGGCTACCGGCCGATCAGACACAAGTACTTCGAAGCGACCATCCGGAAGGTGAGAGCTCCGTGTTTCCTCTCCAGCCACTCTCGGAGGACGGACGCTAGTGCGGCATGCCCTACACTGGCCCGCGCAAGCCGTTGATCGAACTCGATCTGGCGGAGGTCTGCCTGGTAAGCCTCTACTTCTCGAGGCACTGTTAGCTCACTCCGATCTAGAGCATCCCTGCGTCACCGAAACTGTATCGCATCCAGATCCCAGGGTGCCGATCCGGCAAATAGGCTAGCCGCCTCAAAGGAAATCGTACGGTACCCTCTTATCACTACCTACCTTACCTAACCACTAGGAAACAGGCCCATCTACGTATATGAATAAAAATGTTTGTAAAATAATTAAATTAATAATATTAACTTCAAAATGAAATACAGCCAAATTGAGAATCTTCCTTTTTTTAAGTCGATTCATGAGGACAATAGTAACTTTTACTCTTCAAAAGACTAGACGCGTTAAATCAAGAGCTATGAGCACATCTGTTTAGCGCCAACACCAATTGACAATCTAATTTCTAGAAAGCCGAATAACTCCCCAGTGGTAACGTGGAACAGGTACTGCGTACATATTGTGTAAGTATTGCAATGAGAACAATGGCAAGCGGTAAAGGTAAGGTCGATACGGTGATGGGAATTTATATCTACGTCAAATCAATTGGAACGATAAATCAACTCATCCAAGAATAATTATTGTATTAGCTAAGATCGTAAGTATAAGTATTTTTTTGTTAGATGACAGTATTACAACTTATCGTGGAGTCATACTGTTTATTTATTCTCATTAAATATTAGGAACAGGTTCTCAGTTCGAATGTATTTAAAAAAATATGGTTGTTACCTCAGAACACCGTTATTTATGCCGATTTCAGTTATTTTTATTTGGAATTGGTTGCTTCTTGTGTGGTCCAATTTTTTTTTTTTTTTAAACTACCCAAGAGTGGAAAATTAAGTGAGTACAGTTTATTACAATTCATCGTGAAGTAGGAGTATTTTTTTTAAATTAATTATTGATAAATACTATAGTAACAAAAACTAGCGGCCTACTTTCTGATGACTAAAGCGATTTATTTGAATAAGATCGCCAATGGCAATTAACAATAATAAAACAATATTTTCAAGGTCTTTAAGCAGGTTATAAAAGGAAATCCCTTTATAACCTGCTTAAAGACCTTTGATATTTGTTGGTATACCCCTCGCACCTACTTCCACGGCATACAACGCAACGACATAACCATTTCGTTACATAACGTATTATACAATAATCTTGAAATTTCGAACCATCAACCCGGATAAAGACATACTTGTAAGGTCCTACCCAGTACTATAAGTATCTAGTAAATATTACATATAACGATATCTACCCGGTTTCGTGCCTAAACAAACATCCGAAGTACTGCAAAGCCTCTCCTTTTTGTTGAATTTTATGCCCAAGTAAATAACCGAGATTGAAGAATTATGACTCTGTCATCCATTAAATGAATAGAAAACATACGTTTAATAGAAAAAATATTTTTTATGATAATTAATTAATTAAGCTGTAACACTGCCCATTGTTCCAACTATTTTAATTATATACAGTATAATTATTATAATTGTAATAGTGTAACTACTGTAATTAAATCATAAATCGGTCTGTTCGTGCCGCATATACAATAAACAGAATAGAGTAGATAGAATATTATTTGTTATATAATTACAATAGTTACACTGTTACAATTAAGTATAATAATTAAACTAATAACAATAACAATTGTGGATCACGAAGTGTTGTCCTATGTGGGATCGAACCCACAACACTCAGCGCAGTAGGAAGCGGCGAGGTAACCGCCTTAAATATTCACAATTCGTAGTCAAAATAATGTGGGAAGCCCAGATTATGTCAGAAGCTTTATTGCCAATTTTATCTTAGTCAAAACATAGTTTATGTGTTGGGTTTGGTATTTACCAGTAAGTATGGCAATATAATAAATAGTAATAATATATGGTATAATATAGTAATAATAGCTGTCACCAACAAAATAAATAAAGAAAAATACGAATACCTAATTGGAGTCTTCAACACTCATTTCTATTCATAGTGATGGCAGCTATGCAAATTTATTTAAATAGAGATCCATTTCAATCTTTTTGATGTACCTAAAAATATGAATATATATTTAAATTCGACGACGCATATGTATGTAACCACCTTGGTAGATTACGTTGAGTGAACCCACGGGGGTGGAATCGCATTAGGTCGCCTCAAAGATATCGCGTTACGTATTTTTGATGAAACTCCTTTATACTTTTATGTATGCTCTTATTTTCGCTTTATGACTGTTTATTCTACTTTGTCTATCAGTTACAATGTTGCATATAAGAGTTCTTCAAATAATACTGTAATAAATTATACCCTCGAAATAACATCTATCGCTGGAATGACATACAATAAGTATAATCAAACGGAAATCTCTGAAAGGTGGCCAAAATATTGCTATCATTATGGACAACGGACTTTTAGATAAACGTATAATAAAAGGTAAAAGGATAAAGAGAAGAAAAGCTGACAAATATTGTTACAGCCACAGCAATATTTACGGGAATGAGCACATTACAGAGGACTGCAAGTAATGCTGAGTAAGCTGACGCGCGCTTTCTCCTTTAGGTATTTATAATTAAGCCTTTCATACAACAAAGGTTACAAACCCACTCTATATCACTCTATATCACAATCTATCACATCACACATACACATATCACAATTTTATTAATAAAATAACTCTTACCAAATCCTCATTGTTAATTTGGATAGTTTTCGATAGGTTTCGAACGGTTTTTTGATCAAAATAAATCTTAGTTATATCTTTATAGGATTTTTTTATTTTATTAATTGATTAACACAATAAAATCCACGATTCAATCCAATCTTGACCGTATTAGCTTTTTATCATGTTTTCAGGTTAAAGGTAAACTCAGTAGAATCAAGGTGTAATTACGTCTATAGACCTTTTCTTGTCTAGTAATAGCTTTAGAACTCGGTTCGTGGTATGGGAGTCATAGTCAGTGGACCGTGGTGATTATAACCTTCTCTCACTAGATCGATGTTTAACGGCACGTGACAAAACTATTAATGAATGTTCTCTGTATGCTGCCTCAGGGATGACGCTGAACAATAGATATTATCTCTCCAGCTTAAAGTTCTTAAGTATGTAAGATACACTGAAATTTGAGAAATAGACGTGTGGTTAAGCTGCTAACTATGTACCTACCTAAGTTAGTTTTATCATATTTTAAAAGGTCTACGTACTTCAAATTCTCTTAGCAGTTAACTTAAGACAATGAAGGTTATCGAATGCTTTTTAAAGACTATTCTTATAGTAAAAAATCTACTTTTAAATCTAGAACTCAGATTTGAGGGTCCGACTACCTAAATAACAAAATCACAATACCGCTGTGCTATTGGTCCTATTGGGTGTGATGGGAATTTGCCAATTTAACCGTATAATATAAAAAAAATATATAATAAGAGTTACGTCTACGTATTCGTAACTCATCTTTTGTTATGTGTTAAGTGTTTACAATTAAATTAAAATAGTATTTAGAGAAGCTATGTCTGCACATTATAGAATCAAAAACAAATAAAATTTGATTAACCATATATTTCTACATCATGTAGTATTAAAAAAAAATGAAGATGAATTAAATTCTAAATGAACATAGATATTAATTGTAGAACTGTGCTTATAGAACTTTTAAATAATGTTGTACTTGTAGGAATTTTAATCTTAAATTAAGGAAATCAAAAATAACAATTAACTTTGGAATCTTCCAGCTTTCTAATAAGGTCATCATCATTAAATTTTAATAATCTTAAAACATAAAAAAAAACTAACAACGACAGTCGTTTCATGTAAGTACTAATCTACATACAAAACCAGAAATAAAAAACCGCCCTTACCAAGCGTTCATTAAAATGTGAAATTTGTGCGGATCCAAAGCAGACATGGGTTAAATTACCTACTGAAACCTTAAAAACTACTGAATGAAAGAAAGATTTCTAAAAATGGGTATACCCTTAAATATATTTTTTCTTAGTGGTTTTAAACATAACATTCAATGCCTATGAACGGTTAATTCAATTCAATGATGAAATCTAAACAAAATTATAACATATTTATTTTAATAAAGAACTTTTCAATTGAAAACTAAATCCCTAAAAAAGATTGATAAAAAACAGTCCGCAGAACTAATTAGAACACGTATAGAAAAGCAGACGAAGTATGACACATTGGTTTTTTTTTTATGGCCTACCGACTGACCATAGACAAAAAGTGACCATGAGCTTTCTTATCGCCGTAACGATTATATGTTCATCACCTAATGAAGGAAAATAATTTAAACCATGTACATTTTACTGAGACTACTCTGGTGTCACAAGTTTGTGAAGCTCCAGTCTATCATAGTTATCTACTCGTTGAATATTTAGATCGTGTTAAAACACAATTGACGTCAGTATGAATTAGGATGCGCTCTGTCATTTGCAAATATGTATTTAAATAACATCGAGACTCACAAACCAAGCGTAGAAATTTTAATATTAAACGAATAAAACTAACTCGAACTCTCACATCCAAGTTACTGATATATTATATTATTACATATGTATAACTGAGGAAAAGATAAGGATAAAGATAATCATAAAAAACTGATGTTTAAAAATTAGTTGAGACTTGTATGGTAGATCTTCAAAATGACTGGCTGACTCCTAAAATACCTACCCACTAATAGAGATAATAATTTTAAGTGTTTCAAAAGTAGTATTTGTACGTTTGCAGTTTTTACGATACGAAACGTAGGTTATTAAACATTAGAATTAAATATTCTCGACTGTCTCAATTCATATTCGCCTGTCTCAAGTTTATTTGGAAAAACCTACCCCTTTTCTCGTAAAAAGTCCAACCACCGTTTGCCGTTTTAACAACCAGGTTGCATTAAGTTAGTACCTAACTCCTTTGTAGGCTTAAGTATAAAGATGTTTAACGAATTTTCAGAAGATATTATTGACTTGCCTTTGTATAAATCTAAATGATATATAAAAAAGTTATTACAAAATAGAAGACTACTTAACTGATAAGAATTTGTAGGCCATTCACGTCAAGGCGTCACGTCATAGAAAAAAATAAAGATGTGCAAAATATATATTTTTAAATCAAATTGCAGAAATAATTGAGATTTTAAAATAGATAAATACGTCACCATACATATTGATGTATAATTTGTGCTCAAGAACAAAAATATAACATTCCACCTAGTAACAGCGGTTGTTTAACGATCTCTTCAAAGCATACAATGGCAGAACGTTACAATAGGTTAACCGCTACTCGTTACCTAGCAACTCGAAGGTTGGGAATTCAAATACTATCTCTGTAGTGATTCCTATTTAGGTTTGTTAAAGAGATATATAAAGCGGCATTTTGTATGTCTCTTCGAGCCTCTTCTGAGGGTCTTTTTGGTCTTTTAAATGAACCAAAACTACAACAGTTTTAAAACATTTTGGATTACAGGAGATATAAAAAAAAATATTCAACAGATTTTTCTAAATTTAGTGTTATTTATAATAAGTCTCATTATCGTCATATTATATTATAAAAATTAAATTATCTCATACTTAGGTAACGGTGACGGCACAAATACATAATTTTTAAGCTGGTTTCTAAAGAACAACCACTCGGTGGTGGTGACTACCACAAAGTAACGTATATTAAAAAGCAAAGGTTGGACAGTCAAACACGGTGTTTATAACATTTTGAAACTTTAGATAACGGGTGGGTTGAAGGTTAGAAGAGTTCGGGTACAAACATCACCCAGATCGTCACTGGGTCACGCCTACTCTTAACACAAATATTCACTTTAGTCACAGGGACTGACGTTAATACTAGAAACGGATGAATAACTTTACTGGTGGTTTGTAATTTTAAATACGAAATACTCGTATGAAAGAGATTAATAAAGCTTGCTAGCTATAGAAAGCTTGATGTTGACCCAATTTTTATTTAAATAATTCAATTACAATTAGATAAAAATCTCTTAAAAATACAACGGCCTCCAATTACTAAAAGCATTTCAGTTAAATTAAATTATATAATATCGACTAGCTGACCCGGCCACGCGTTGCTGTGGCTAAAGTTTTTGTTATATTACATTATAGTAAACAATCTAAGAGGAACAATAAGAGAACATCAGTCACGGAGTCCACTATGCTTTTTCACACAGATGGTATTTGTAAAAAAATATGGTGATCTCCTTATTTGACTTTCTACTACTATAACCCTTTAGTACAATGAAATTATTTACGAACAAAGACGAAAATGTTGATGTTCGTATACAAATTCACTGGATTGAGATTTGAAGGGGAAGTACATTGAACACAATTAATTAAAATGTTCTTACACTTGATATTAAGCAGAAATCAATAGGTACAAAATAAAAAATTATCAGATTTATTATTTCCATTTAATTTTATAACAAATATAAGTATATTACAGTATAATACAGTAAATAACATGTAACGCTTAAACTCATGATGAGGTAGGCAAGGCAGATAGTCTTAAACTTTTAAACATTAATATCTACTTTTTTTGAATTATAAATACTTTCAATTTCAATTTAATGTAACACCAATCGGTGCACAATGTTTTTGGTTAACCTGTCTTTAGCTAACACAAATAGATTCCACGGTTTCCCAACACGTGAACACGCAACATATAGTTGCCCATGAGAAAAACATGGATTTTCCAAATCTAAACCACAAATGGACATTGTTTGACCTTGAGATTTATTTATAGACATGGCGAAAGCTAAACGAATTGGAAACTGTAGCCTTTTGAAGGGTATGGTAGAATCTGATGGTATCACCGGAATACGTGGCAGCAGGACCACTTTTCCTTTAAACTTCCCAGCCAAAATGGTTGCTTCAAGAATGTTTCCGGTGATCTTTTTGATGACCAAACGCGTACCGTTACATAATTGAGGTGGATTCAAATTACGGAGGAGAATAATAGGGGAACCAATCTTTAATCGAAGATTATGTGGTGGCATTCCAGGGATATCTTATGAATTTAAAAATTCAATCGGAAAATTTACACTTTCATTTTCATCAACAACAGTATCGATTGATTTAAAAGACATCAGATCGCCTGGTAACAACTGTTGTATCTGGAAGTTAATTTCGTCAACATCAACGTTTTTGGCTGCCAAAATCGCCCGTTGACTAAGCCATTCATGATTCAAATAATTATTCTGTATATCCGGGAAAATACTCTGAATCAATTCATTTTTATCCTGAACAACAGTGCAAAAATTGTCTGGTAGTTTAATGCATTGCGTATTTGGTTGCAGTTCTATTTTACCGTTCCCAATATCTAGTAGTTGTTCGGAAAATATTTGTGCTGATGGATCATTTTGCAATTGTACTCGCATATTTATGGTCAATCGAAGTGTTTCAACACTTCGCCATAAGAATGATTGTTTCAAACATGCATTAATCTCATCCGCGAAAGTAGAGCGAGTTATAACCGGTAAGGTCTGCCGGAAGTCACCAGACAAAAGTAAGATAGCACCACCGAAAAGTTTATTGTTGCTGTTTAAATCTTGCATAGTTCTGTTTAATGCTTCAAGTGAATATTTGTGTGCCATTGTGCACTCATCCCAAATTATTATAGAAATCTTCCGCAACACTGCAGCTATTCCACTATTCTTTTTGATGTTACACATTGCATCTGGTTTATTATGAACGTCCAATGGCAGCTTGAATGTTGAATGTGCTGTTCGCCCACCATCCAGTAAAGTAGCCGCAATGCCTGACGATGCTACTGCTAATGCGATTTTTTGTTGCGACCGTATTTTGGCAAGAATCAACGATATTAAAAATGTCTTACCGGTTCCACCGGGTGCATCCAAGAAAAAAAAACCGCCTTGTTCAGCAGCAACAGCCAGCATAATCCGATCATAAATAATTTTTTGTTCTGCTGTCAGTAATGGTTCACTGTTCATGATAATTGTTGCTAATCACTGCCTTTGTTTACATATTTACAAATATACTTAATTGATTTAACAGAACTGCAAAGCTCAACATTGATATGAGCTTTGTAAGTTTTTGAAAGTAGTGGTGAGTATGGTACCACCCACTGATTATCAAACTCAACTTGATTTGGAAAGTTCGGCAGTCGCATTGTAAATGTGTGGCCACCATTCTCAGTACTTCTGCGGCGATACATTGGATAACCATCAATATCCGTGATCGTGTCATTCGTATGCGGCTTTGGGAACTTTTTTTTACATTTTCCATGTTCCATGCACGGTGACGTCATGTTGAAAGCACCGCATGGCCCATGGATCATGTGTTTGGTGACAATATCAAATAATTCTTGATCAATTAATGGGTCTGGAATTTCGGCTGAAATTATTTGATCGATTTCTTTGAGCTGCATTTCTTGTTTCGATTAGTTCTGGTAATTGCTGAGCTCTTTCAACACGTTTGCGTCGTGACCCATTGCTGCTCGTGTTGTTGAGGTTAGATTTTTTCGGTGGCATTTGACTGAAAATAATAATTTAATCGTTTAAATATTAGAAAGAGGAACTGAAAAACATGTTATCATAGCACATTGAAATAATAAGTGCAAAATAATTTTCAATGGAGGTTAAATAATTAAATAATTATTTATAATTTTTTTTGTACAATTATTGAAAATGTGTGGGTAGCTTTGTGCCATTTTCTCATTGATATATTAATTAACTTTTATAAAACTATGTGATATTACTTACATGTATAAATTGAAATTATTGTTCCTGTGCTCCTACTGTGGCTATGTCTCGTTCTCCTGCTGCTCTTGTTCTTTTATAATATGAATTCAATTTACACTTCAGTCTAAGTAACACGTGGCCGGCTACGCTAACACCAAAAATTTAAAAAGTGGAAATAATTGAATTATACGGTATTTCGTTCACTACAAAATAAATTTAATTAATTTTATAGCGTCAACAACACGTGGTAATTATGCTGTTAAAATGTAGCTTATATGACACGTTCGTAGATTTACCATAGCAGCGCCATCTATTGATTACTTACTCAACCCAGTCGAAAGGTATCGACAAACACCAAAAATTTAAAAAGTGGAAATAATTGAATTATACGGTATTTCGTTCACTACAAAATAAATTTAATTAATTTTATAGCGTCAACAACACGTGGTAATTATGCTGTTAAAATGTAGCTTATATGACACGTTCGTAGATTTACCATAGCAGCGCCATCTATTGATTACGTACTCAACCCAGTCGAAAGGTATCGACATCTGTTAGAAGCATTTGGAGTTAACAGATAATTGTGACTGTCAAATAATAACAGACAAATAATTAGCAATAAATTAAAATTGCGACTATAATTTGAGATTTAAACTAACCTATCTCTCAAGTTGGATCGAACTGCACATGATGTGCGAATTTTATTATAATCGGTTAAGTGGTTTAGGAGTCCATTGAGGACAAACATTGTGACACGAGATTTATATATATTAAGATATCACAGCAAAATAAATTTCGTTATTAAGTATATAAAGGGATCGAGTTAATATCAAGATTCTCAAAGAAAAGAAGATACTGAAACCCCAATAGTATTCTGTGATCTTATACAATAAAACGAACATTTTCCAATTTCTGAAGGAGAATAACGCTTTCAAGCATATGTAGGTATGTATTTTACTTTATTTTCTTGTAGAAAGTACACCAACACCACAACTACATAGATTTTGTGCACAGATAAATAAAAGTTAATCAACATAAATACCCGTAATAGGCCGGCATAACATTTAACATTTGTTGTAAAGATATTGCAAGCATGTATTAATAAATAGAAAAAGGTAACAGTAGAAATTACACCGCACAAAATAGCTAAAAAGATTACAGTTACATTAAACATTTTTGTAATATATGTGACGACTGATCGACATATTTCTGGACCCCTATGTCAGAAGTACTAAGGGCCAAGTGCGAGTTTATTTCACTTCCACTCGATCATCAAGGTGACCGCTTTCGGCGCTACGATTGCCCCTCACTGAAATCTCCACCAATCGCAACGGTACTCAGCCCTCTGATCGACACTACCGCTGCATATGGATACCTACAAATCAAGAGTTACAAGTTCCTCCAGTAGCCCTACTGACTCGGTAAAAAATCAAGGCAAAAATTTGCTTAACAAAGTTTTCTGTGAGGTCGTGGGTGATCCCACGACCTTACAGAAAACTTTGTTGTTTTAGAAAACTTTATACTACCTCAGCTAAGTTCAACTAAGGCGAAGGTGATTTTATATTTTCCAATATCACGCTGTCCGTGTGGTGACGGATTAAATACAGAGTGTCACCACCCCTAATCATCCCGTGGGTGTTGTAAGAGGCGAGCTAAGGAAGCAAACTACGCAGGACAACAACAGTGTAGAGAGAAGGAAAACTTGACACAAATCCTATACCAACCCGTCTGGCCAGCATGGTATAGTAGGCCAAACCCTCCTTTCTAAGGAGAGGGCTATGCCCAGCAGCTATTAAAGGCTCCTGATGATGATGAATATCACACAGGATCTACTTCTTAACAAGTCAAAATCCGGTTGTCAAGCTTTGCCTCTCTCTGTTTTATCAGGTTTCAATTTATTCTTGTTTTGGATCAAAATCAAATTCAGAGCAGGAAGCAATCAAACAATCGGGCGCTTGTGATTCCTGAGTTATAGGCGTTCATGGGCGTCGGGAGTCACTTTCCATCAGGTACTTTCCCTTCTGGTCGTTTTCCCCCCTACTTTTTTATGTAAAAAGTAATAATCTAAGTACATGGTTGCTATAGCGTGGTTTTTGTGTTGCATTTTATTTGTATTCTCAACTTTTCCAATTTTTCTTAATTTCTATAGTTTCTGGTCGGTATTTTTTAAATCGCTTTAGTTGTCACTAAACTGTCTACTAAACACATTTGTTTAAAGATATTGTCGTTTATATTTCTGTAAAATTTTCTAATAAATAAAAAACCAATCCGTTAAAACAACTATCAAAGTGTTTCAATATTAACAGTAGACGACGTTCTTTGAAGCTACGAGTATTAAACGAATGCTACGTTATGAAAACTAACTTCTTCCTTCAATGTGTCCCACGGGTGATAGAGTAAATATTTTTTGGCGCCTTTCCTATAAAATGTTTATATTTACTTTCATGTTGACATACAACGTAAACATTCCACAAATAAGTTCCAACCATATATTTTTTTAGTTTTTATAAGTCCGACTGTTATCATCAGTCTCAGTTAAACCTACAATGGTAAGGGAAAGAATAAACGTGACGGACATATATATAGTTACGTAAAGATTAATGTTGTGCTACTTAACACAAATCGATTATCTCCCCCATAGCCATTTAGCTCCGAGGCCTCCCTAAAAGGCACTTACTTCCATATTATAGGTATAATAGAATAATAAGTGTCTTTTAGGAAAGATCACCAGACATTTTTTAAAGTAAATGAAACTGATCAACTCATACAAATTTATCGAGAAATTGGAAAATTGTTCAATTTTAAATCGAAGCTTCTAAAATTTCTCATAGTTTAATCGGAATCTTGAAAATCGTTCATCGTGTTTACAAGCTTCTATTTAACTCTAGAATCTTGCAACTCAATTTTGAAGCAGATATCTTCAACCGATTGAGCTGAAATTTTGTGTACACATTTAGTTTGGATGACAATGCATGGTTAGCAGTATTGCGTCATTCTAAATCCAACGTGACGGAACACCCAAGATGGCGGACTAGTTATTTTTAATGTACTCTTACAATATGGGTATCAAATGAAAGGGCTTGCTGAATATAACTCGAACAATGAAGTGACGTCACTCTAAATCCAACATGACGGACTTTTAAAGATGGCGGCCTAATTTTTTATGCTTTCCTGCAATATGGATATCAAATGAAAGAACTTGCTAAGAATACGAATGCGAGTTAAACTCCGTTGCTCAAATCCGTCTGAAATTTTGGTGTACAGGGATTTGAGATTAACAGACTAAGAAACGTGTCCAGCGATAACTGAAAAGCAAAAAATAAATTAATAGTAAAAAACCTTTTTTTAAAACAAGCTTTTATTTTCACCAAAAATAATACAATAAACTTTTCCCTTAAAACTTTTACTATCAACTTATAGCGTCATTACACAATTTCTATGACAAATAAATTAAATAACTTGATCTTAATTTGAATTTTTAAAAAGATTAAAATTTATTTTTCAGAAGATTTTTAGAAGTAAATACGAGTACTTTCTCGCGGCAAGCTTTTATATCGTATAAATTGTGTAATGACGTTAAAAGTTGGTAGTAAAAGTTTTAAAGGCAAAGATTATTTTATTCTTTTTAGTGCATTTAAATAAAAGCTTGTTTTAAAAAAGGTTTTTTACTATTAATTAATAATACATAATATAACTCTGAATTGTTCTTGGGTGTAGAATTAATTGCATTCTAAGTAGGGGGAAGTCCCCTAGTGACGGACACATAAGGTTTTCAGGAAATAAAATTAAAACTACATCGAGAAATATGTATTTATTTATGAATTACTTAAATTAACAAAACATAAAATCAAAATCAAATAACAAAAACACAAATTCTGCGTAAACATAGTTTAGGAATGTTAAATAAGTTTTGGTAAAAAAATAAAGGACTTTGACATTGGCACCTAGTGCCGGACGGGTTAATCTTCAAACCCCAAGCGCCGGACATTCTAAAACTTTTAGCATCTATCACATATGTAGTCATCTCCACATTCTGGCACGTCTGCACATGCTTCATGAGCCCATTATTGGCATCTGGAGCATTGTATCCAGTCCTCGTCGTGGTCTTCTAAACACACTACACAAGTCGTTTTTTCTATTTTTGATACTTCAGTTAACGGCTCCTTTTTGTTGTCGTTATTGCTACGTTTGGTTTGTTTACTCATGGGGAATCTTCATAGCTTCAGCCAAGTCGTAAGCTAACTTCAAAAACTCGTTTTTCATCAGGGGCAGACATCTATTAGACAAATCTCTTATGTGGTCCACTAAAACTTGCTCATACTCGGGTGAGAAGGTTTTTGTGAATCTACCAACTTTTGGTTGCAACGTGACTTCTTTTCCACTGCTCAATGTCGTTATTTTATCATGTATAGTACTTTTTGGAACATTGTAACGTGACGAAGCTACCCTCAAACTCATTTTTTTGGACAAAATCTTGTTCATCGCAGTTTTTAAACTTTGCTGATCCCATTTTCCTTTTTTTTTCTCTCTTGCATTTTCAAATATCTGTCTCCTTCTATTCTGTAAAACAACAAACAATCATCATTACAATAAGTACAACTGCTTCATAAAAAAGCTAACCTATAAACTGTCCGGTGGTAAGGGACACCTTTGTGTCCGAAAGTAGGGGACAGGAAACGTCCAAAAT